TCTTGTGCCAGTCCTTATCTTTCAGAGACATGAGCCCCTAACAGGAGCTCTGAAGGAATGCATTGTGACCTCCATTTTACAGGACTGGGGTCAGAGTCTGCTCAAGTTCACAAAGCCAGGAAATGCCGAAGTGAGATTTATACCCAGGTCAAAAGTTCATGCTCTTTCACCATAAACCACAAAGTTCATGCTATTTCACCCTGCTGCCTACCACAGTCATGATCAAACTTAAAATTTAACAGTCTAGCACTCATGGAGTTCCTTGGTCAGGATCACATTTTATTCAACCAGTTTTATATGCCATGACTCCCAGAAAGTCCATTCAGGATAATCACCACACAGCTTTCCTGATTTTATGTCTTAAGATAAACTGTACCTACTTGCCTGGAACACCCTTTCCTTTCCCGGTCCTAAGTCTATCCATTCTTCAAGGCTTACCATGTAATTTTCCACAGGACTTTTCTGACTGCTCTAGTTTTAGCTTTTCTCCTCCTAAACATTGGAGGAGTTTGGAAGATAGTGTTCCTCATCCCTCCTGTGCCATGCCAATCCAGCTGCTGCTCTGTCTCCTGAGCTGAGTGGTTCTTGCAGCTGACAGGCAGGCTGAGCCTGGAGGGTCGGAGCAGGCTAAGCTATGTCAGACAGAGAATTCTGGCAGGTGGCACAGAACTTCAGAGTCTGGAGACCAGCTGCAGAGAGCCCTAAAGACTAGTATCAGATTGGCCCTGAAGAGGTCTGTAGACCTCTGAGGGGAGAGATATAGCACTAGCAAATGTAGGTGTCCCTGGGAGGCCTGCTGGTCTCCTTGGTTCTATGGGAAAGTTGAACAACTGGGCCAAGTCTGCTCCATCTATGAGGCTGAAAGGCCATTAGCCTTTGCAGCCAAGGAGACCACCAGGATGGAGAGAAGCTTCCTTCTGGTGTTCTGGAAAGGGGCCTGCAACCTGCTGAACTTGTTGAACACCACCTACCTACCTGGCAGAACCAACTAGCTCTTACCACCGGCCTGAGTGTCTGTACATAAGGTGCCCCAGCTGAACCTGAGTTCCATCTAGGTAGGGTAGTGGATCTCAAAGTGTGGGTCAGAGACCAGCAACATTAACATCACTTGAGAATTTGTTAGAAATGCAGACTCAGTGAATCAGAAACTCTGGGAGTAGGGCCAGCAATCTGTTTTAACATACCCTGCAGGTAGTTCTGATGTATACTAAAGTTTGAGTAGCTGTGCTACTGGAAGCATAGTCCATGGACCAGCAGCATTGACAACACCTGTTAGGGCCTGTTAGAAATGCAGACTTCAGGCCATACTTCAGGTCTTCTGAGTTTGAATCTAGATTTTAAAAAGATCCCCAGGTAATCGATATACACATTAAAGTTTGAGAAGCACTGATCTGGAGAATAAATAGCTATCAAGCAGCTGGAAGGAGGACAAAATAACATAACCTTCATAGCAAGAGCTCCTTGCAAGACAGAAGGGCTCGGGGAGAGAGGCTTCAGCTTGCACTGGAAAAAACTAAAAATTAACTTAATGGTATTACTTATACTACTTTAAAAAAACACCCAAAATGAAAACCAAAACAACAAGAAAACTTGCCTACACAAATACCAATTAGGGGAAGGGAGAGGGCAGTTCTTTAGAAAGTGCCTTTGGGATCAATCAGAGAGATTGTTCAGCTGGTTAAAACCACATTGAAAAAGATTGGTTGAAGCCCTATTTTCATTTTTGTTTGTTCTTGTTTTCTTTTATTTTCAGTACTGGGAATTAATGTTGTTTCATCATTCTCAGGCTCCTGGTTTCTCAACTCTTTGGCTAGTTCCACCTAAGCTCTGGCTCTTGAATAGGGTAAATTCATAAAATAAGAAGCATAAAAGAAACTGACAGTTATGGTCTACATTTTCTTTTCGTTTACACTTTTTTAAAAGTATGCATTACTAAAATGATGTACTACATAATATGTTAATAGACTCAAGCTTTGCCATAAAAGTGATGTATTTTTTACCATTTATCTCTAATGTAATGCTGAGTATGTAAGAGCTGACAATACAAGGCGTAATATGAATCAGAGTTGTCAAGAGCTACTATATGTCCAGGAATTTAATTTTCACAGTGTCTTTTATTTGGGAAACTGTGGCCACATTAAAGTACTTTTCACTGTACTTTATGCTTCTTTATAATTCAGAGAAAGAAAACGATCACTCAAACTATAAGGACTATTAATTAGGAGATAAAAGTATAAGTTTTGTTGTTATTTTACATTAGTGTATATAAGTTAGTTTTCACTTACACATTTAGTATACCAATTTTTTTTAAATGTTTATCTCATCACATACATAATTACTCTGAAAAATTGTTTATGTTCAAAGAACTTTAAAATCTTGAACGTTTAGTTTTTACTATTGAAATTATATTTAAAGAATAGGCACAAGTAGTCATTTTTTGACTTATTCATAAAAGTGCATTTACATCCATGAAGTTTGAGATTCTAATATTTATTCCATCTGTATAAAGATTGATTTCAATGTGCCTGCAAAGTCCTAAAAGATTCAAAAAGAAAATCTGTATACTATTGACTTAAATGACATTCTTTTAATATGTTGTATGACATTCAATATCCTTTACATATCAGTAATTGTATTTTATTATGAGTGCATGATCTTGAGCCTTAAATATCATATTCTTTTTCTGCTCCTCAGAAATGTAATAACCTTACTGAGATGCCTCTAGGGGATCTGCTAATTAAATGTAATTTCTGGGTCCTTTTTTTTTTTTTTCTATAAGAGTTCCTTCCCTTTCTCCTCCTGCTCTCCATCATGTGATGGGAACCAGTGAGGAATCTGTGTTAACTTGGTGACAATGTGACAGCTGGCGCTTTATCTAAGCTTCTCAGTTTTCCATTTCTTGGGAATGCTTTAATGTGGAAACGACTTCAGATACTTAAACTGAATCATAACTTGCTTATGTAAATTCCATCAAGACAACAAATTGATTTTAGTTGGAATTATGGCTTTTACTTATAAATCATGTTTGCCAGTTACCTTCCAAAAGCTGTATAAAGAATTATTTTTAACAAAGTCTTACAATATATCTTACTTTTTAGGTACTACAGGAAAAAATAAATATAACCTGTTAACCACAAAAACAAAAACAAAAAAAGAACTGAATGATGACCAAATAAAATAAAATAAAAAGCAACCCATGATTTTTAAACTAAACAAGTGTGTGGGTGAATTTAAGAGAATAATTAGTACGGTTTAAATTAGTGGCCTGGAAGATCAAGCAGAAGTATTTCAAAATAAAGAACAAAAAAATTCAAAGAGGTAGAAATCATGAGCAAAAAGATAAGGGACTTGGAAGACACATCCAAGAGACTGACATGTAAATATTAGAAAAATAAAAAAGGACAGATTGAAGAGGGACAAGTTTAATTACAAATTAGATTTCTATGAGTAAGCAGATGGAGATGTATTATCAAGATCTACACACTTACATATATTCTAGAAAAATTTCTGAACTCTAAGTATAAAGAAAAATCTTACAAGTTTAGAGACAGAGAAAATATATACATATGTGTGTGTATACATATAATGTATATGAAGAAGAAGCAGCAGCAGTAGCAGACTCTGTCATCTACAACTCAGGAACCTAATAAAAATTAATAATATCAGAGAGAAAAGAACTACAACCCAAGAATTTTATATCCAGGGGCAAGATATTATTATTCATTTGTTAGAAGAAAAAGAATGAATATATATATTTGTGGCTATGCAGGAATTCAGAGAAAATTTCATCTTCTTATTCCATCTAAGAGAAATCTGATTAGAGTAGAAGATGAAGAGGAGAAACAAAAATGGGAAGCAGCGTATCTTGCATAAGTATAGCTTGTATCTTGTATAAGTATAGCTAAATACTATTAGCAAATAAATGCTAATGGAGTGAGATTGTATAGTGTAACAGTTAAATAAGTAATCTTTAGCAAGAAGAATTTACTGCAAGGAAAATCTAATAATGGCCGGGAATCCAAAGAATTAAGCCATATCAGCAAAGCTGAGGGATTTGGAAATAAAACAGATTCTGCTCTGTAAAAACATTTTAAAGGTAACCTAGTAGGAAGAATGGAGATATAAACATATTCAAAGGCCTCATTTATTGGGGGAAATGGTGAGAAAAGAGCGATTTGGTTGAGAGGAAATAACATGTGGATTTCCTATGATAGTCCAGAAGCTTGTGTGTGATGAGAAAGGGAAGGTAACCCCCAGTGCAATGGAAGAGTTCAGTGGAATTTCCAGTTAACAAGAAAGCTGGGGAATGGAGAGCAGCTTGAACAAATCAGCAAAAATAAAGAATAAAGAAGAAACACAAAGACCAGGAATAAACATTAAATAAATCAGAATGGATAAAGTAGTTGTTATATATAATATGAATGGGCTAACTTTTCTGTGGTGAAACAGAGACTGGCAAGTTGGGTTAAATAACAAAACCCAGCAATATCCTGTTTTTTTAATGCTTAAAACAAAGTGATTTTTTAAAAAGATTAAAAAATAAAGAGATAGAGACATATTGTAAACAAAGAAAAAGCAATTAATATTAATACCAGATAAGGCAGACTTTTAAAGCACCAATGAAGTTAAAAATAAGTTATTATAGAATGATAAAAAATGAAATTTATGATTGTATATCAGTCATTACCTTGTATGCATTAGATAACATAGCAGCTAAATATACAAAGAAAAGTATTAGAAATACAAGGAAAGCTTCATTAAAAATATAATTAAAATTAATATTTTAATATATTTCTTTTTGAATCATCTGGATCCAATGGAGCAAAAAATTAGTAGTGATGACAAATAGAAATTAAATGGTAAAACTATTGAAATGATGGGGTTCAGGACATACTATCCAAAGTATGGCACCTTGGCACACTGAGTATTTTAAGCTAAAGAAATTGAGAAATGGCAGGTCCAAGAATGACTCCCTGACCTTTTCTACTCCCCTGAAACAGGACATCAGACCATGATGTGAGAGGTGCCTTCTCTATACCTGGAGGGAGGAACATCCTTATATCTGAAGATGTGAAGAATGAGGGATGCTGAGAGGAATACGAACCAACAGGTCTTGCTAAGTTTCCTCCAGTTTACCATCCTCACCTCAAATCCCCTTTGCCCTAACATATTTTTCCATGACTTTCCACAAAGGAAATACTCAGGCTTAACTGTTTCTTTGGGTGCTCATTTCTGCTTCTGTGTCATGTAAAACTTCTATCAAATATATTTGTGTTCTTTTCTCTTGTTAACCTGTCTTTTGTTACAGGGGCCCCAGCAAACAGGTATAGAAGGAGAAGATATTTTTCCTCCTCTACAATACTAAACCATATATTTTTTGAGTAGAAAGTATTGAGTATAAAATACTCATATTTTTGCATATTCGTAGAACATTTATGACATTTGGAACATTTACCACATTTGGTCATATTCTTGGTTACAAAAAAACTCCACTGTTTTATTTTTTGATATAGAGGTCTCATTATATTGCTCAGGGTGGTCTTGAACTCCTGGGCTCAAGCGATCCTCCCACCTCAGCCTCCCGAGTAACTGGTCAACTGCCATAGAATAGACCAGAAGACACTTAAAAGACCTACTATTTAAAAAATCACCAGGACTAGATGGGTTTAGAGTTAAGTTCTAGCTGATCTTTACAAACAATCAAACATGTGATTCAAAGGTAACTTATACCTTTCCAGAAAACAGAAAAAGACATCTCTGGTCTCCTCTTTATCATTTTTCCTCTCTTTAATGTTCGTCTTCCCCTCTATCTCACCCAAACACATTTGGCACATTTAGTTGCCTTCACAGACCTGCTGGCTTCAACATTACTACTCCTAGCCCACTCCCCAACCACTTCCCTCATCAAAATTTCTGTTGCCTCTAGCAGCCGGTCAAGCTGGGTGTAGGGAGACCATTTTCACCTGCTCAGACACTGCTCAAGTTTCTCCCCAGAGGGGCTCCTTTGAGCTAGAAGGCCCACCTTCTTTCCCTGGGAAACACTGACTCCCTCTTGTGGGTTCTGTGACTGTTAGTGGAGATGGAAATCTTACAGGACACCACAGGGATTTCTGTCTCAATTAAGATGTTTTGGTTTCCAGTATCAGAATAACAACTCGAAATGTCCTACACACTAAGGAAATTCACTGTCTTAAGTAACTTTAAGTAAGGGCAGTCTTCAGGCCTGATGGACTCGGGGGTGCAGCGATATCATCTAGAATCCAGCTTCCTTCTATTTCTCCACACTGCTATGATGCCACTAACTCCATCTTGAGGTTGGCTCTTCTTGCTGTCATAATATGGCTACCAGCACAACTGGGCACACATGTGTCCTTGACCATGTACATGACCCAAAGACAGCCGGTTCTTTCCTCTGAGAACTCCAGAAAAATATGCTTCACATCTGATTGGCCCAATCCCAGGTAAGAGGCATGGTTGGCTTTGACTTATCATCAGAAGAGGGACTGTTTGAGAGACAGCCACAATGTCCTTTGCAGTTCCCACCTCATGTCTCCAGTTGGTCAGCAGGGAAATCCAGCACTAATCACCACCGCACCCCAGAATGTTCAACAGAGATAAAATGTATCACCAAGAAGGGTACCAGAATATCCACCCCCTGCCATATGCCTTTCTGGCATATGGACTATTTTAGCTAAAGGCCATTGAGAACCAACAAACACAGATGGAACTCTAAAAATAGGGTACTGTTTTCCTTTAATAAAGGAAATTTACAACTATAAAGAAAATTTCCATTTGTTAAAGTATCTCCCCTCTGTTACAGAGGAGGACTCTTACCAATGGAGAAGGCACTAAATAACCCTTGTTTACCCTACTTCTCATGGTCAGTCACCATCCCACAACTTGCCTCCCCACTCAGAAGCCCAAAACCATTTTTTTCCTTTGTTCAGCCTAAAATGGTACGTCCAATTCTTAACCATCTGGCTGCCTCCTTGGGCCACATTTTTCTTTGTGAACTCCTATGTGTAAATATGTAGCTCTGTGTCTAATTAAAACTGATTTTTTTCCTCTTATTAATTTGTCTTTTATTTGTTTGATTCACAAATTCCAGCCAATCAACCCAAGATGGGTAGATGGGAAAATAATTTTTTAGAACCAATAGAAAAAAGTAATCCTTTTGATAAGGGAGATGTTTTTATTATTGTTATTATTATTATTATTATTATTTTTTACTGCAGCTTGGCTTGATTACTTACTCATTTGCAGAAAGACTTCCTTCTTTGATTCTTCCATTTTACAGTAGGAATGTTGAGATGAGCAGAGCATTATTTCTAATTCTCTTACTAGACTAGATTGTAAGTCATGGTCATGACTATGGCCAGTTGCCATTCAACTATACTTAATTCACAGATTATTGCTATTGACACGTGTCTGAGGCCCACTGAAATGCACCTATATTTTAGTTGGTTTAGTTTGAGTTTTGGGCTGGATATGTTAAAAAAAAAAAAAAAAGCCAGACACTAGTTAAAGGCAGTAAAGAACAGACTTCAAGCGGTAATTACTGCAGTAGGAGAAAAGATAATTTGGTACAGAACTGAGCTCAACCCCAGTCAGTCCAGAGGTGTCTGGGCATTTTAAAGGGAGAAAGAGGGAGTGGGAAGGGAGAACCAGTGAAGCTCAAACAGTCACAGAAGTGGAAAAGTACATTAATTGGGTGGTGGTGGGGGGGGGTTGGTCAATGTGATTAGACCATCTGGGTTTGTTCACTGGCACGTATCCAAGTCAGATAGCCTCCTATCCTCCCACAGAGACTGGGAGACAGAGGCCCAGCCTTCAGGTGTTGGCTGGAACAAACAGCAGATTTTTTGGCAGCCTTGAGATTTCTCAGGCAGGAACTTAAGGGGGAGTGGGTTGACCCAAGGACACGGCCTTGAGCTGTTAGAAACCATGCTGGTGTCTTAGTCGGGGAGGGGGAATGACAAAATCATTTGTGATGAGAGCAAGGATAGTTCTCAGAGGAAACCTAAGGAGGTCATGCTATAATAATATTAATAAATACCCCTGTTGCCATATGATTCTTCTTTGCCATTAAATGCATAATTAGTGCTAATGTAAAGTAAAATTAATACTATATACTGCACTTTTTAATTGAATAGAGGGCCAATTTGCACATTATTCCTCAGTAGCCCCTGAAGACATTCTTAAATAACAGCATAATATAACCAGCTCCAAAGGATAGCCTTAAGTCCACCATCTGGAACAACTTTTTAAAATGGAAGAGCAAGATTTTGCGGGTGCATATCTCCAATAGTGAACTTTTGTCCACTAACCTTACATGGTGATAGAAAACCAAGGAGTTAGTCTGAAAGCCTATCTAAGACACGTGAACAAGTAAGTACAGAATGGAACTTTTTAGCCTGTGAATTCTTTCATTGTAGAAAAATTATTGAAACAAGTGACAATAAAAGACCATGTTCTCTCTGGAGTTGTTAAAAGAATATGTGCCAAGTTAGTTCTCAGAAGTGTTTTCACCATGTATATACACTGGAAATATATATGTGAAAATGTGACACCTTCATAAAGCTGAAGCACAAAAATGAAAAGCAATTCTAGTAAAACTGCCCATCATTCACACATTATTGGTTGTAAAATAGTTTTATCTTTGTAATCACAGGCAGTACTATATGAAATAATATGCTATAGGGAAATAGAATAAATGTTTTGCTAAATCAGATATTCCTCTGGTGAGGTAGGTTCTGTACTATATGCTGAAGACCCAACAGGAAAAAAAAGTCATCTTATTACAAACCACAATTTGGATGTAGAGAATATGAGTAGATCAATATGAAATTTGAACAAAACAATCCCAGATAGGGATTTGCAAACCCACAGCCAAATATTTAGTGCTTAGCCCATAGTAGGCATTCAGGTGATATATGTAAGTGGAGTCTTCAAAATGTGTATTTTGGCCACATGTAAATAAAATGTCTAAGATATTGAGTAATATTTGCATTTTAACTGGTTGAGTCACCCCGGTAGAAGCATCTTTCTCAAAGAGATGGCAGAAGGAAATACACTCAGATTATTCAGTTACAAAGACACCGTACTATTGTCATCTTTTCTCACTGTTACACAGAAGCATTTAATTTAACTGGATACCCCAGCAGCAAATCTCCCCTCTAAGAAACATAGCTGAAACTGAAGAAAGAAGTAAGAATGCCTTCTGAAGAGCCAACTGAAGATCCTGGAGTCAGTGCCAGTAGGTTTAGAGTCCGTATCACAGAACTCCCCAAAGCCCCAAATCAAAGCGTATTTAATCTTACGTAGTACAGAACTTAATTTTGTTTATTTGGTTTCTATGCCAACAAACTAGAAGAATTTTATACAATACTAATTTCCTGGGGTAGAATTTTAAAACAATCATGTTTTAAGACATACTAGATCCGCTTTGGAACTGTGAAGCTGTTTCCTTTTGTCCTCAGTCCTATCTTTGCACTTCTTCCTCTCCCTAGTTGACTTCCTGTTGTTTACATGTCTATGTTCTTTTTTGGGTAGATGCTTATTATGTCCTATTACTATTTCTACTCCTCTTTACTTCAAAATCTTTCTATAATAGAATCCTTGATCTCTATAGGCATACAATAAATGCTAATTAAATACAATGAATCAAAAATGGAGAATTAGAAGACTTGATGTCCTGTTGGAAGCAGCAAGAAGTCACGTATGAAAATTGACACTGTAGGAAGAAACTACAATCAAAGGACCAATGCCTGAGAAAGCCCAGTCATCTGGGGCCATTCCGTGTAGGGACAAAGAGCTCCATAGACCTTATTGGCCCCTGGGAACAGTAAGCAGATACAGAGGGGCGTAGTACTCGATGCTCAGAATGACCACATTCAATCATCAGAAAGGTTTCAATGATGAGCTGCGTGATCAGTTAAGAAGCAGAGGGGAAACACATGATACCATTTTTTTCATCTAAAAATTGGCAAATGTGTTTTCTTGTGATAAAACCCAGTGCTGATAAGGGCACAGTAAAATGGGTATGCTTACAAACTTTTCGAAGGTATATGAACAGTTTAGGAAAAAAAAGTTTTAAGAAGAATGCAAGATACTTAGAAAGATGTATGACACAGGATGTTCATTATAGTATTAACACATACTATGAAAAATTGCCCAACAATAGAAAAAAATTGTACAACAAATATTTTAAAAAGTTAAATTAGAGAGAGGTTTTTGTGAAGATGGCAGAACAGGAAGCACCAGGAATCTGTCTTCCCACCTACACAGCAACTGCACTGCCACAATCTGCCTGATGAACTATTTGGGAACTCTGGAGTCTGTAGAAGGCTTCCAACTTTTAGGGGAAGGCTTGGACAGGCAAATCATGGTTAATTTCTGCCTATTTCAGTTCTTAGCATTGTAGCAGCTACCCATCCCCCATGGCAGGCAGCTGTGCGCATGTTCCTGAAGCAGCCTGCACGCAGCTTGCAGGAGCCCAGAAACCAACCCTTTCATGTGTGGGGAAATGATTTTCAATAACAGTGCTAAGATTATTCAATGGGAAAATGACAGTGTCTTCAACAAATAGTGCTGGAAAACTGGATATCCACATACAAAAGAATGGAGTTGGACCCTTACTTATCTAACACCAAAAGTCAACTCAAAAGTTAACTCAAAATGGACCAAAGACAATCTTAGACCATTTCATGAAGTTATGACAAAATAGCTTAGAGACTGGTAATTTATAAAGAAAAATTTATTTAGCTCGTGGTTCTGTAGGCTGGGAAGTTCAGGAAGCACAAAGCCAGGATCTGCTTAGCTTCTGGTGAGGGCTTTGGTGCTGCATCATGACACGGCAGAAGTCAAAGGGGAAGGGGGCATGTGCCAAGAAGCAAAATCTGAGGGACATCCAGGCTTCATAGCAACCCACTCTTGTGGGAACTAATTCCTTTCCATGAGAACTTATCTAGTCTCATCTCAAAAGGAATTCACCCATTCCTGCAGGAATGGCACCAGGCCACCAACGAGGGTAGATCCCACATGACCCAAACACTTCCTTCATTGGGCCTCACCTCTTAAAGGTTTCACTTCCCAACATTACCAGACTGGGAATTAAGGTTCCAACATGGGCTTTCACAGGGACAAACCATAGCACAGACCTAAATGTAAGACCAGAAACTTTAAAACTTTTACCAAAAAAAACATGACAACAGCTTCATGACATTGGACCTAACAGTGATTTCTTGAATAAGATACCAAAGGCACAGGCAATAACAAACACAAAAATAGATGAATTAAACATGAAAAATTTAAATAATTCTGAGCAAAGAAAATAAAGCTGGAGGTACCACACTACCTGACTTGAAAATATACTACAAAGCTATATTAACCAGAACAGCATGGCATTGGTATTAAAACAGACACATAGACCAACGGAACAGAATAGAGAACCCAGAAATAAATATATGTATTTAGAGACAACTGATTTTTGACAAAGGCATCAAAAACATACAGTGCAGGAAGGATATCCTCTTTAATAAATAGTGCTGGGAAAATTGGATATCCATATGCAGAAGAATGAAACAGGACCTCTATCTTTCATCACATACAAAAATCAACTTAAGATGGATTAAAGACTTCAAAGTAAGACCTGAAACTATAAAACTACCCAAAGAAAACATAAGGACAACACTTTAGGACACTGGTCTAGGCAAATATTTTATGGCTAACACCTCAAAAGCACAGGCAACAAAGACAAAAATAGACAATTTGGACTAAATTAAACTAAAAATCTTCTGCATAGCAAAGGAAACAATCAACAGAGTGAAGAGACAACCTTCTGAGTGGGAGAAAATATTTGTAAACTATTTGTCCAATTAGGGATTATTAATAATATCTAGAATATGCAAGGAACTCAAAAAAACTCAACAATAAAAAAGTAATAATCCCATTAAAAAGTAGGCAAAAGACATGAATAAGCATTTCTCAAAAGAAGACATACAAGTGGCCAACAGGTTTATGAAAAAATGTTCAACATCGTGGCGTGAATCATCAGGAAAATGAAAATCAAAACCACAATGAGATATCATCTTACCCTACTTAGAATGACTATTATTAAAACGACAAAAAATAACATGCTGTTGAGGATGTTGAGAAAAGGGAGAATTATTGGTGGGAATGTAAATTTGTATAGCCACTATGGAAAAAAATATAGTGATTTCTCAAAAAACTAAAAATAGAACTACAATATGATTCAGCAATCCCACTACTAGGTGTTTATCCAAAGAAAAGGACATTTATAAAAACACACACACAAAACAAAAACAACAAACCAAAACCAGAAAAGAACAACTGATGGCAAGGATGTGGAGAAATTAGAGCCCCTGTGTCCTGTTGGTAGAAATGGAAAAGAGTCCAGTTGCTGTAGGAAACAGTATGGTTATTCATTAAAAAATTAAAGATAGAATGACCATATGATCTAGCAATTCCACTTCTGGGTACATAACCAAAAGAATTGAAATCAGAGTCTCAAAGTAATCTTTGTACAGCAATGTTCATTGCAGTGTTATTCATAATAGGTGAAATGTGGAAGCAAACCAAGTGTCCCTCAGCAAGTGAATGGATAAGTATGATGTGGTATATACAATGGAATATTACTCAGCCTCTAAAAGGAAGGAAGTCCTGACACATGTTACAAATGGATGAACCTTGAGGACATTATATTAAGTAACATAAGCCAGTTACCAAAAGATAAATACTGTGTGATTCCATTTTATATGAGGTACTTAAAATAGTTGAAATCATTGAAAGGAATATGGCGGTTGCCAGGGGCTGGGGGAGAGGGAACGGGGAGTTATTGTGTAATGGGTACAGAGTTTGAGTTTTATAAGGTGACAATAGCTACAGAGGTGGATGGTGGTGATAGTTGCCCATTATGGATGTATTTAATACATCTGTACACTGACCTATGTGTACAGATGTATTAAAATGGCTAGGATGATAAATTTTGTGTTACATGTATTTTGCCACAGTTTAAAAATTGGAAAATAAATTAAGTTAGAATATTTCAATATAATATAAATGTATACATGTGCATAAAAATGTGTGTGTGTGAAAGGACACACTGACATATTAACAGTAGATGGTAGGACCACATACAGTTTTCATTTTTTTCTTTACAATTCTGTGTTTTCCAAATTTTCATCAATGCATATAAATTAATTTTATAATTAATATTATAATTAACAAGATTTTCTGTTTATATTTTAAGGGGTAAGCCTTACCCCCATGGCAAATTATTGCTGTAGAGAAACCCCTTCTTGAGCACACAGCGCTAGACAATGAGGGGATGCCCGCAGCGTGCCTGATGTGTGATTTAATCCCCACAGTAATTCTGTGAAATAGTTATTATTGTCATTATTTTCCTTTCACGTAGGAGGAAGCCGAGGCTTAATGAGGTCAAAGGAATTGCCCAAGATCACACCTAGGACGAAGGAGAGCTTCAAACCCAGACAGACCAGCTCTATAGGTTCTTCACCAAGACCGGAACAGACAGCTATGATCAAGGTGACGGGTGCTAAGATAGAAGTAAGTGGGGTGTTATTGGAGTGCGCTTGGAATGCGTGTCTAAGTCATACCGTGGAGGAAGGGATGAAGAAGGCTTCCTGGAGGAGGCGCTGTTTTCACAGAACAGCACGTGAGCAGGAGTTGGGGCTCGGATAGGTGCTCAAGTGTGTTCCAGGCAGAAGCAGCCGTGTGTGCCTGTGCTCAGGGGCGCATGCACACTCCTCATCTCTGAGGATAATCAGCTAGAAGGAAGGACTGACACAGGACCCGCACTTTCCACCTCTCACAAAGGCCGGCTCCAAAAAAATGATTTTTGAAAGGATGGTGAAAAGGGCTACCGTTCTTGAAGTGCTGATGATCGATGGTGAGGTAATTCTTTAAAGAACGGTTATTTTAAAGGCTCTAGGACCGACTTCTTGGAAATATCCCCTTAGCTCGGCATCAACATAGAAATCTCCGCCAGAGCAGAGGCTGAGGCACTTGGGAGGCTGTGGCACACTCAAGAAACGTACGGGGTCCAGTGTGGATGGAGCCAGGGTGCCAGGGGTGGGGGTGGGGGGTTGATGAGTCAGGGAGCTGGGAGCAAGACTGGGACCTTGTCACAAAGGGACATATTTGCCTCATCTAGTAATACTGTGCAAAATGAAAATCCTTCCATCAGCTTTCCCCTGCTCAGTAAGAAAAAGGGTTAAGCAGGCTTGAAAAATCCCATGCCTGTTTGAATGATTACTGCCATGGCAACCCTGCAGCAGCCAGCACTTGTCAAGGCCTCTTCTTTGGATACAATAATAAATAGTGATAAAACGTTACCCCAAGGCTTTATATTTTTGCCATCAGTTAAAATTCTGTTCTTGGCTGTGGTGAGGACTTCTTCAAATCAGAAGGAAACAAAAGAAAAAGAAAAAGTGTGTTTTAAATAATGTGCTAGAAATACTTCATGCATGTGCTTTAAGAATTTGAAGCCCTAACATTTCAGGCACTTGAAAAGGCCAAAAACCTTACCAAGGAGGAGTTTGGAAAGGGCTTTCTCCCTGCTACGAATAAAGACTTGGCAGAAGGTAAACAGTGACGCCGCACTGTGCAGTTTCACCAAGCATCAGCCCCATTGTGTCTGTCGTGATTTCTGTGGAGGTGAATAGCCACCCCCTCACCCCTCCTTTCACTTTTAACTCTAGCAGGAAGAGAGGAGCAGAGGCTCTCCGTTATCGCTGGGTGACAGCTGTGTGATGGGTGGGAATTTGTTTCTAAAACAATCCACAAATATTTAGATAGGGTACCATTCTCAAAGCCACTCTCAACTCAGCCGGCTCCTTCAAAGAGAGTAATTCCTTAAAGCAACAGAAAGCACCTGGGCTTTGAAGGGAGACCTAGCTGGGTTCAAATCGCAGCTCCCAATCCTGGCAGCCTCACCTTTCATACCTCACCTAACCTCTAGGAGCTCAGTTTCCTGCCTTGTAAAATGGGATCTATAATCCCTTCCCTGCAGCCTGGTCGAAAGGAGTGGAGATAATGAATGTAAATACGACAGGCCATATGTTATGTGTTGGTGGTATCTATTATTATTTATTCACGGTCACAAACTCAAATGAGACCTTAGATCATAAAACACTGTGAAATGGCCTTGGCAAAAGTTTGCAACCCCTGATCTATGTATCATGTTTAATCAATTCTATGACACACTGTTTTTCACATTTTAACATCTCTAGAACTGCAATGGGTCTTACAACATAGGATGTGCCATGGTTTAGTCGGCAGTGATTTTTCTTTCGTAGTTGATCATAAACTAATGGAGTGTCTTACAATGGAGGAAATCTCAGATTAGATGAAACAGGGTGGCTCTTTTCAGCATATGGAACATTTTAGTTTGGTTATAAACCAACAGATAAAAGAAGGAGTCAAATCCTATTCCTAGTCAATAAATCTCTGACGGAAAAGATAAGATTCGTGGCAAGTACTCATCTCCTCTTTCTGAACTGTTGCAACCTGGCAACACATCTGCTGCTCAGAGCAGACACGTCACATCATCCATCCACCCAGTCTCCTATGTGATCCATACCATCTGGCGCCCTCCTTCCCTATCTCCTCCACCTTCTCCCCACCATGCGTGTTCCTGCTTAAACAAAACACAGCAAAACAAAAAATACTAAGTTCGAGATTTTCCAAGCAGTTTTTAAAATGGAACCACGCAAAAATGTAATGAATGTGATTTTCCAGGTGTGTAGAAACATGTTGATCACAGTCTCACTGTTGGGGGAGCCAGTAGGAAGATGCTCATGCAAACACACACACACACAGACACACACACACACACACACACACACCTGTGTCACACACTATGTAGCACTGCCTCCAGTCTTCACATGACGCCCAAAACTAGAGCTCTAAGGGAATATAGGTAGTTGAGCCCCCAGAGTTGCTGGTGTCACCTGCTTGGGAATAGGTGGTGCACACAAACACACACATATATTTACTCTTCTAGGTAATTCAGATTATAAAGAAAGATTAGGAGGCACTTTCCTGGGGGAATCAATCCACAAGAGTGTTAAAATGTCATAAGCATAAATCTGAAGTATGATACCAGGTAAGGTTTTTGAAAACAACAACATGGTGGCTGAAACACAAGTTGGGCCTGTTCCCACCAAAGGAGACACTGACCTCTAAAAGAAATGGTTAAAAATAAAACAAAAAATCTCCCAACTTCCTGCAGGTGCTAATCCTGTTTCAAATGAGTATTTTTGTAGTGCTCATAAGGAGGTCACATAGTACACTTATGGGATGAACCTCCAATCCTAAAATCCTGTGCCTGAAATGGACACTTGTGGTAAATTAAAAGGATTGTCAGGAACTGCCAGTCTCTAGTATGGACCGGAGTTTTTACTCTTCTTACAAGCTAAGAAGTTAGCCTGCTACTGTTCCAGGGATGCTAGTAGAAGACACAAGTCTCCAAGGTCAGATAGTCTGGAACAAAGCAGGGACAGCACCTTGCTTATAAGATGTGCAGAAATGCAAGAGACCCTGGAGAATTGTCCCCTAACAGTGACATAATATGTTCAGTGCATGTGACATATGGCATACGGTGGAATATAGCATAGTCATTCCCAGCCCACTAAACAAACACATATTGAAACACATACAGAAAAAAACACCAGTGGGAAGAGGCACAGGTTATCAGACTGCCTAGAAAGTTGCCATGGTCCAGCTCTAGCCTGAAGTAGTATGGGTTTAGTCTTCTCATGGGAATGAACTTGAATGAAAAGATCAATTCATAGAGAAGGAAATAGGACAAAGGAAACAAAAAGTAGTTATTTTTCCTCATTGTCCAAACACATACTTATCATGTATTCCATAATTAAGAGGGAAGAAGAAAACTGGATATTTAAAGGTGTGGTAGCTGGAAACATCTTTTCCTAAAGATGTGACTTTTAAGTTCCAAGTTTAGTTATGAAGAGCTAATTTTTTTCCTCTTTCTACCTAGAGGACTTTTCCTTTCCTTTGGCAATATGTAACAGTTCACAGTTCCTTGTCTTCAAGGAACTGAAAGGATTTGATTTGGGAGGTAAAGATAGTTACCAGATTTTTGAAGAGTGAAACTTGAATCATTTGAAATTTATATTAATATATCAAATTGATTAGAACATTTTCTATAATTTTAAATTCTAAGCATTTCTCCTTTTCCTAAAACTATTATATTTGATTACAGTCTTCTATATAATAATCATTTTATTTATCACTTTTAATAACTGCTAGCCTGATGTTATTTTAGAAGATAATATTGACATATTACTGACCTAATCTGTAGACCTTATTCAAATTTCTCCAATTATCCTCTTTTGGGTCCAACATTTATTCCAGCATCCCACGTTGTGTGTACCTTTCATGTCTCCTTATTGTCCTCCATCTGGAATAATTCGACAGTCTTTATTTTCCGTGACCTTGATATTTTGAAGAGCCCTTCAATTTGGGTTTGTTTGATGTTTTCCCATTATTCTACAAAGGTTATTCATTTTTTGTCAAGAAGATTGCAGAAGCTATATAGGCCCTTCTCAGTGCATCATCTCAGGTGGTACATGATGTCAGTAAGTCTCACACTTGGTGATACTGACTTTGATCATTTGGATAACATGGTGTTGACTAGATTTCTCCCCTGTAAAGTTATGATTTTTCCCACTGTAAACATCTTGTGAGGAGATACTTTGAGACTGCAAATATCCTGTTTCGCATCATAGTTTTGCCCACAAATTTTAGTATCCTCTGATGTTGCTGGCCTATAACAGTTCTTACTGTGGTGTCTACCAAAGAGTAATGTTCTATTTCTATCATTCCCTCTGCATTCACAAATTGGAATTCTGCTGTAAAGAAGAGTTGAATAACTTTTTCAATTATATATTTATATCAGTTCTCTTTGTTTTTAGCCATATAGTATGTGATAGTAATTTTATGTGTTAACTTGACTGGGCCACAGGGTGCCCAGATAGTTGATTAAAAATCACTTCTATTGTATCTGTGAGAGTGTTTCTGGATGAGATTAACATCAGAGTGAATAAACTGAGTGAAGTACTCCCCAATGTAGTGGGTCTTATCTAATTGGTTGAAGGCTTGAATAGATTAAAAGACTAAATAAGAAAGAATCTTTTCCCACTGCCTGACTCTTCTCCAGCTGGGACATGGATCCTTCCCTGTCTTCACACTTAGGTTCAGACTGGAACTTCCAGCATTCGCTCTCTTGGTTCTCAGGCCTTTGGTCTTGGACTAGAACTTATGCTATTCAAACTCACACAAGAACTATACTACTGGCTCTCCGGGTTTTGCAGCTTGTCAACTGTAAATCTTAGGACTTCTTGGCCTCCACAACCACATGAGCCAATTCCTTATAATAAATCTTTTTATGTACACAATCATGTGTTGCTTAACAATGGGGATATATTTTGAGAAATGTATCATTAGGTGATTTTGTTATTGTATGAACATCATAGAGTACACTTACACAAACCTAGATGGTATAGCCCGCTATCAACCTAAGTTATATGGTATATAGCCCTTTACTCCTAGGCTACAAACCAATGCAGCATGTTACTGTGTTGAATACTATAGGCAATTGTAACACAACTATATTTGTGTATTTAAACATTTCTAAATATAGAAAAGGTACAGTAAAAATATGGTTATATTTTTATTGGATTATAATCTTATGGATCCACTGTTGTATAAATATATGTGGTTCATTGCTGAAAGAAACATCATCATGTGATGCATGACTATACATACATATATGTAGAACCCAGACTAATACAAAGTATATAGCCAAAATACTATTTTCCAAAGTTACTTAGTTTAGTTCTCTTCGTCTGTATCCCCTTCATTGTAGTTATGTGGTTCATTTGTAATTGTTTGTTCATTACCATTTATACTCATTTTAAAAATTAAGTCTCATCCTATCTACACAAAAACTTTCCATCTTACTCAGAGTCAAATCTGAAGTCCTTTTCATGGCCTAAGCCTATGTGATCTGGCCTCCTTATGCCTCTCTGACCTCACCTCCTCATCACCCAACCTCTTGCTAACCCCCGTCCAGGCACACTGGCCTCCTTGTTGTTCTATCAACACACCACATATACTCTCACCACAGTGCTTTTGCACTTCCTCTCACTTATGCTTAAAATGCTGTCCCTCAGATACTGACATGGGTGAGCCCTCACTTTCTTCAGACTTCTGTCCAAAAGGCACCTTATATATTTATTTCTTTGTCTGTCTCAATTATAAGAATTTAAGTTCCATGAGGGCTTTCTTCTGTTCACTGTCAAATTCCCTGATCTAGAATATACTTGAAACTGTTCTAGCAGCAGAAACTTTAATATACATATATGTTATTGAACATTTCCCCCCAACTTTATTAAAGTATAATTGACAAATAAAACTGGTGTATATTTAAGATGTATGACATGATGATTTGGTACATAGACACATTGTGAATTGATTTTCACAATCAAGCTAATTAACACTGAACATTTGTG